ACCACTTCTAAATAAAGATAACTGATCATTAGAAGCATCCATCTTGGCATTACTTTCAGCAAAATGAAGCATGGTATTACAAACTGACTGAATGTGTCCAGTTATACCACAGTTAAAGCATTTAGAATTACGAAACATACATGAATTACATGGGTGAAACTTGCCGCAGAACATGCATTTACAAAACTCGTGCTCATCATCATGGACTGTTTCACAACTCAATGAAGTATTATCTGAATAACTTACATTACGCATCGAACTACGACGACTATTTGAATAAGTGGAATTCCTGATGTTCTGACGAGTCATTTTATCGGATTTTCCTTTCTTACCGCATTCGGAATTTGTATACTTTACATGATCCAACAGTAGTTGCTTGAGAGTTGCATAGGGGAGTGAAATCGGTTTGTCTGGAAGTGCCAAAATCTTTATAAGGCTGTATGCTTCTTTCCCAATGAATGTAAGGAAATGGGCCACAATATTAAAATCATCTTCCTTGGTCATAGCCCAGATTTCGAACCTTTCCATGTACTCCTCAAAAGCATTAAAACCTGAATTTGTATCCAACCGTTCCATTACAGGCTCAATCGCGACTCCAATATGGTAAGTAGAAGTATTTGAATTTTAGTATGAACTATTAATCCCAGGAATAACGCAACGTAATCAAGAAGTATTAGATAGGCACGAACGAATGTATTGTATTTGGAATTCAAAATTACAACAGTCATCAATACGGAGAAGTCATTGATTTATTTAAACACCACATTCACACATAGTGTTTGTATAGGCAATTGATCAATAACTTTTACTGGTTCAACAATCTTCATGTGAAAGTGATGTGTTGGCTGAATACTTGCACTTTGTTTGTCGGTTAGCCAAGTTTGTTTTGTCGAATTGATCTGCAACGTTAAACCATAACCTCACTATTTTAACTTTGATATTTGAATGGAGAACTATCACAAATATGGTGTATGCGTTATGCAAGAATGTTTGAATTCGGATTAGGACCAGAAACCATTTAGTTTGATTTGTGACATCCGTGTGATTGTGTTTACTTTCATTCAATAAACTATCAGGTTGAAAGTTTCGCAGACATTTTACATAGTACCACAGTTTGTGGATAACCATTATTCAGTGAATTACATGTGGATATGAAGCAGTTACTCAATAAATCAGTCAAAATCTTCAAATGTTTCATCTTACAGGATTCGGTATCCAATTCTTCAACCCACTCGTATTTCTTAAAAATCACTCTATTAACTCAATGCCCTACTGAAATACAAAATGAATTCAGTTAGTAAATCATCCACGAATATTGTTTAATTGAAGAAATCATTCAACGTGTTTTGAGCACCAAAGTAATAAAAACTGACATATGTGAAGACTAGATGGATGGTGGATAAATAACGAAGAGTCACATTTTCCTTTTCGCCGTTTCCCGATATCCCCACTCATTTGTCAAAGTCATTGTGAATATTTAGTCCATGCTTTCACCTTTTATTCGTCTGACTAGATTTGTTCTGTACCATGACATACTTCATTCATGAGTATTACACCCGTTATTATTCCTTTCAAATGGAAATGCTATCGATGGTTGTTAATGTTTTGTCGCATTTCTATATCTAATTATTTTAACTTAGTTACCAACAGGACGTGGACGGTTCTATGATTTTAAGATTGAGGAAACACGAGTTCAGTGTACCTAAGAAAAACAATTAAATATTCTAGAAAACACATTTGAAGATGATTTTAAAGTATTGGTGAGTATGAATTCCATTAAGGAATGTCAGCTTATATCTATAATATTCATTATTATTAAGAGAGATAATTTAAGTAAAAGTACTTATTGTATGGTATGGTATCAGCGTATTACAATTTCTGAGACTGTACTCAGACATCATATCTAATTAGAAAATAAAAGAAAAATTGAAAGACAAATCACTTCACTAGTAGCATATGCAGTCTGATGAGAAACCATATTGATATGGTGGAAATAAATTATGAGCAGATATGTATGGTGACTGATGGCCGAGAAATAGATTTCTCAACTGAATATCGCTATGTCCTGGGGTTGATATAGATTTCGAAGTTCCGCTAGATACCATCCATCTCTGCTAAAATCACTTGTGACTTAGTGGCAATATTGTGGTAATTCGTACAGCTAGCACAACAGACTGATCAGTTGCAGTCTTAAACACCGGTGAGAAGATTCAATAATGAGTACACACAAACTAAATAAATTCTAAATTTGAATGTCACCAAACCTTCGGCTACAGATGTCGACGTGGTGCATTTTTATTGCACAGAACCTACATACCATTCGGTAAACAATTAGGGAGGGATGAAAATGGTCAAGATTTTCTGATAAACTCTCGATGTTAATTAAACACTAGATTTTACATACTGCAATTAGCAACGATGACATGGAAATAAAATGTGTGCAGTCGAAATTGGGGAATACTATATGTGAAATTAATTTTCTTCCATTATTATCACGTAGACGACGTTTATACATCAATACCGTCCTAATGCTTATCACAGTAACACTACTTGTTGTGAGCTAGACGAACATTCTGAAACACTTGGCAGACGCAAGTGAGATTGTGAATGAATTGAAAGGATGCTATCTACAGAACTACTGACCAATAGTCATTTATACAATGTTTTCGTCTGCAAAGTATCAGACAATCGTAGTTATTGATAGGCGAAGAACTTTTTGTTAAGATATTCACGGGAATATCCCAAAAATTATCTCGAATATAAAGTGGTATGTTTTCATACTCTTCACATAATTCGCATGTTATTATAACATTTGAATTAATAATTATAAGGAGTTGAAATGGTTTGTGTAGAGAATTCGCGGTTTAGGGCTTTCCACTAGTGTCAAGTAGGATAAAATGGAGGACTTGATTTTAATTGGTAGACAAATACTAGATGTTAGTTCACGGTTGTGTAGCTTGTAAATCTTACAATTGACATCATAAATCGATCAATGTTAGACAACTAATTCTCAATATATCAAAACTTTATGCACAGCATCTTTCATTTCGAAGAACTATCGTAGTTGTAACAATGGAAGTTTCACAATCTTCACTTCACTACATATTAATGGGAGTATCAGTCTGTAAAATATGTCAATGTACTCGAAATGTTGAAAACCATTGGCTTATTAAGATAACTTACGATACTGTGTCTCGTAATTTCTCCGAAAATCTTGGATAACTATAAAAAGCATTAAAGCAGATCACAAATTAATTTGGTTTCAATATGGATGTTTATGAATAAGTTATGTCTGATGAAGCGAAGAGTGAATGTAGTTTGATGTACAACTGAGTATATTGAGAATTGACTGTACATGGAAATATGGACCGATGGTGAAACTACTGAAATTATTTCGACTACTCGTTCAACTTGAGGCCAAAGTCTCAATAAACCAATCGGCAACGTTTTATTTTCTGTCAAATGACTATTTCTACAGTATGTTTGCTGACAACGTCAGAATGAAGCTCATACTACATTAAGTAAACTAGTAGTGATGCAATTTCCCACTCACATTCCGATTCGATGAATTATTTATGGTTTGCCAGAGAATTTATCATACACAGACAACTGGATATATTGAGCACACACATCAAGGTTCAACACTTCAGGGTAGACTATCCAATAACGGAATTAACTACAGAAACCTATCATTCTACGAAACTATTTTACCAGAATGTAATGCCAGTACTTACTGTCAGAAAGAAATGGTAGAACTTTGTCAGGATTATCAAAGATAAACTATAGGGTGCCGAATAAGTAGCACAAGCCATGTTGCAATCGTATTATGTAAGGATGAAATCTTCGAACGTTAAACTTTGTTCACTTTCACACTTGAGATGGATTAGCTGGTCAGTGGATTCAAAACATCAACATGGAATTGAATAATAGTGAAATGGTGGATCAAAATTAAACCACTGTATTAGAATATTTTTTCTTACTTGACAGAGCTTTAATGGCTCTATCAGCGCACCAATATTTACTTCTACATGTGATATCTGAAATCAATAATGTTATTAGAGAACTGGATTATTTTTCACATACACTCATCGATATTCTGCATTCTATTTGTATATAAATTTTTAATCTCATCTGAAACAAACATGATGATGTAGAGCATCTCAGTAGAATAACAAGGTGATCTATTCACTTAAAGAAAAAAAGTCACTTCATTGTGTTCTCCTTATTTACAAGTTAATCAGATAGAAATAAGATGGATGAGGTTTGTTGTTGCGACACCAATCACACATTCTACTAGTCCGAATAATGGACAATCCTGGCAAGCCAGATCGATAGCTTTTCATTCATCAGGGCAGAGCAGGTGGGACATCACTAAAATCTGTAAGTTCAGCAGATCTCATTAATCGTAATATCGTTTGAATAGAATTTTCTTTTCTCAATTTACCATATTGGTCGTAGATACGAGAAGAGTCGATGCATGGACGAACGTCTCTACTAACAATTCTAGAAAAACGTCAAACGTGTGAACTAATTTTGTGTCTCAGATTTGCTTGAAATTAATATTCATGTCAACTAACTACGTGCAACAATATATAATGGTGCAACACAGTGGCTAGAGACGTTATCAGATACGGCTCAGAATAGAAGCCAGAGGCGAACCTGCTGCAACCTTCTTTTACTTTCTTCATAAAGAGTGGTTCTAACTTTCTTAACTGAAAGAGTCTTCTGGTTGTACATTTCAGTCCGCCTTATCTTTTCATCCCTTTTCTTCCTACTTTCATTATTTTGTGTGACGCATATGTATCTGGTGCCCTTCTGTAATAATATGTATGTGTTTAAATAAATAAACAAATAATTATTTCGCTGCACTGATATGAATATCACCCTGGGTCAATGTCTACTTGACTCACGTTCTATTGTCGTTTATAAACAGATAACGAACAATCCTTAGGTAAAATACATTCTAAATGAAATAATATTCATTGCACGAAAAAATTTAAATGAAAAGTATGATATTCAATAGATTTTATCTTGTCTTTTGTTTACAGCTATCTGATCCACTTGACGATGTAGCTTGGAAAATTATGGTAAGTTCTAGCGGAAAATGTACTTATTCGGAAATTTGTTGTCGTCGATTTTGTCATTTTGAATGTCGAAGTGGTCTGTGAGGTACATATTGTTTTTTTAGAGTTACAGTATTGTTAGAATACTATAAGTTATCTAGTGAAGGATTTTAGTGTTCAAAGCATATTTAACTTTCAAACAATAGGTAATAGCTTCGAATCCTACTACTCTATGTACTTTGATTTGGTCAGTCGAGTAACATCACGAGCTTTAACATAATATTCTTTATGCAGTTGATATGTCAATCCGAAATGACCTGGTTGGTCAATGAATAAAGATAGAAATATCTAGTATATCACATATCTCTATTGTAATATATACCTCTACTTATTGTATTTTCCAAAAAATAACTTGTTTTTGGTTGATATTTGGTTCTTGATCAGACTGTCTGGTTACTGAGTGTGTGTCCTGTGTGAGATTAAGCAACACTGACGCTCTGACAGGACTTTTCAGGTTAATGTAAGTGAAATTACATGCGTGAAATGGAATATGAAATATGATAATCCTCTAAATACAGGGGAGCATACAATTAACTAACCGGTATTACGCTCTTACAACATTACGGTACACGACAAGTTTAATAAAAGGAAAACATTATCAAAAATTCTGCTGATATACTGTCACCTAAAACACTGAAATAAATGCTCGACTTTCCTACTAAAATTTCTCTTGTTTAAAATCTTTTTCATATCATTAGCGAAAAATGGGTTATGAACATGGTCAAGGATTTGGTGTTAATGCTCATGGTGTAGTTGAACCGGTTTCATTGAGTAAACAAAAAGGCAGAAGTGGTCTCGGCTCAGTAAAAACAACATCATCATCTGATAAAAAGATTGAATCGTTTTCAGGCGAACTGTACCAATCTTCCAATCGAAATTTAGTATGGTATGAAGGTTGTGATGATGATTATACTACAGCTGGTGGAGATTATACCTGGTCATGGTCAATGGAAGGCGAATGTCCTACTAATTCCTTATCGGATTTGAAGTCTCTAATTATCAGTCCCGATGAACCGGAGGCTTTAGGTCCACCTATTGAAGAGTTGGATAATGAAGATAAATTCTGCTCGATTCATCTTGTTCAGGAAGTTTTAAACTATAAGATGCGGTGATGTTTCTCAACTAATTTACCTAGTTCTATGTGTTTTTTTTAAAAAAAATAGTAGAATATTTTATTATTAGTTTAATTTCGAGACATTTACACATCTTTTTAGTCATCGATTTAGTTTACTGTACGTCCAGTACTAGTATAAAACTAGGTTTTGAGAAAATTGGTGGCAGCCAAATGGAGGAGTGGGATAAATTCAAGGATATTCTGTCTCAGTAATCGCCGCATTGATGCATAGACTTTCTTGTTAGCGTCATCTCAATCGTAATCAATGGTAAAGCGGTTCAAAATTGATCTCAGGATGTTCAAATGCATTTATTCTTTGTTCACTTCTGGATCTCAAGTTTTAGTGGTAATACATTTTATTATCTGAGTTAATCTCTTCTGAGTGACTGCGTTACGACTCGCACTCTCTTGAATGGATTTCGGTCACCGAACCTTGGCTAAGTTACTGGCCTCCAAGTAGCAAGATTACAGGTTCACGCCGCCACGCTACACTATTATTATTATTATTATCACTATTTTTATTCTTTTAGGGCTGCAATGAAAATGGTCAACATCGATTCAATCTTTAATGGAATGTTTACAACTGCTGCTCCGAAAGATGTAAGTGCATATTTTGAGTTAAATAAAACAATAGGGGTCGTGTTTATTTCACTGTTACATTTCTCCAAATAATTATTCTAATACTGGCGTTGGTTACGTGTAAAGAATAAGTGAAAATGTGATTATTTGGAAGCTGTTTGCTGCTGCTTCAGTTTATATATACGTACATTTATTATGACTTTCATTTCATTATGATTTTCTTCATCTGGGTTGTTTGATGTAAAAGAACTAGTATTGTAATGTTCTTCGGGCTCATCTACATTCCGGGACAAAGTACATACTCGATCGAGCTGTCAAAATCGTTTGATGTTTCATTTCGTCCCTTCTATAATGAAACGATCAATCTGTCATTAAAATAATTCAAAGCAGTGATTTTTTTCCATCAGACGGAACCCTTATATCCGACCTAATAAAAATGTTTGGGGATAAGAGAATAGCTAAACTCTGTGGATATATAAATCACGAAGTTAAACCTACTAAATACGTATGAAATAGAATGGACGTAAGAACTAATTTCTCGGCTAGCTGAAAGACATATATGGGTGAGATTGCAGATCATCAATGTTCAGCATATGAACTCTTAATTTTCAGTATTGTTCAACACATACTCTGATAGTCTCAAATGGACCAGCACTTAAATCATGAACATAGTGGACACACTTGTAAGTATATTACATTTTTAACTCGAATTTGGGGCGTAATAATAAACAAAGAGATTATCAGCTAATGAATACAAATAAAATTGGATAATGATAAAATGGATGTAGTTTCAAAGATTTTGACAAAGAATGTTGACAACTATTCGTCGGATGATACTGGTGCAACGGAAATGAAGATTATTGATATGCACACATTGAATATTATTGATTTCAGTCATGAAAAAGACGTCACAACACAAAGAAATCAAATACGAAGAAGTAAACGTCTTCAAGCTCAACGCAATCTTTCTTCTGAGTCGACATCTTCAACTGATCCAAGTGAAGGAGAATAATGAATTTCAACAATTTATTACCATATATACATATATATATATGACTGTCATGTACGTCAGTATTGATTTCCACACCGGGACTCAAACATAATGCCATCCACTTCAAGTATACAACATGTTATCTATTGTGTCCCTGAGTTTAGTTGGCCAGTAACATGTTCAGTTGGTGTGAACAATTCATGATTTCGAAATAACACATGACGTAATAGTAATATCGTGGCGATGCTCATAGAATGTCAGTTCGGCAACTAACACTGATCAAAATTGAGTCTCTAGTTTACTGGAACCATAACTGACAGTGATTTAAACACTGGATTAGTGGAGCGAAATGCTGGCTTACTGAACTAAGATGCTCAGTGGATGTTGAGGATGCTAGATGTGAAGAAATTACGGCGTGAAATTCTCACTTTTGTAATTTAGTTGCGCAAATTCTCATTTCCTATTTTCATGACTAAAACGCACACTTTTAACTTCAGTTTGTGTTTCTTATGTGGAAGGACATTGATTTTAATTGGTTCGCGTTCTCTCATGGTGTGCTATGTTGTGACGTTTTTCAAAGAAAATTTTCGCATTGCATATATACGCGTGAGTTAAATGCTTATTCGTTCGTCCTTCAGAACTGCTTGTGGAAGAAATGTTAACCCAGCTAAATCCGGTCTTCTCTCACCAGTGAGCCGGATCACGGTGCAGTGTGATAGCTCGACTCGTTTCCTTCTTGTGTTGTTGACGTTAGTTTTGTACACCCGCCCTACATAATATCCTAATCTGTCGAAAATAGTATTGAATGAGGTGTTATTCATTGAAACTGTGCAACACAGTGTTTGAGTCCCAATCTTAAGTTCTATATTGGTTGGAGATTTGTTTTAATTCTAGTAAATGAATAATTTTGAGATACTCATAGTGAAGTGATACTTGTTACTTCATATTTATACATGAACTCCGGTTTGAGAAGTTAGTTTCCAAATGTCAAATGAGACAAGTAGTTTTCAGTCAACGTTGTGATTTATAGAAATCAGTTATCATTTTGAGAAACGACTGTCGTTTCACTGTGTTATTCACCATGTCCGCCATAGTATTCTTATTTCTATCAACCACTAGTCCAACTCTTAATGTGAGTGAACAATATTAATACTCAAACACTAATTTACAGGCATTTAATTTCACACATTACAATCGTTTACTGCATCAATGTTTTGAACATAAACAAATAAGAGTTAGTTAATATTAACGGTGAATATTGTTAGTGAAAGAAGAAATTTGTGATTGATTATTTTTACAGTTAATTAATTATTACAACAATATGGGTAAATGAGAAATGAGTCAAGTTCAATACATCACTCCCAAATTCAAATTCATTCAGTTTCCATCTTTAACTGGAATTCAAACAGAAACATAAGAATGATTAGTAATATGATAGATCATACAAATGTAAATTGGAAGTGAACGACTGGACAAAAATAAAACTGTCTAATGGATCTTGATCAACATGCATGTATTCATTTCATCAAACATGATGTCGATCACACTGAAGTAATGGATCCTCATTTATCTTGACTGTTTCTCAAGCATCCATTTGGATAGATATCTCAATTCAACAGCGATTGAGCAATAAATCTAATGAGCCGACCTGTAGTAGTTCGTAACTCTGTTTCGCGCACTTCCATTATTCAAACACACAATATTTCGTCTACATACAACACTACCGTTAAATAGTATTCCATATAATATTGTCAGTAAATTTGATTCAATAGGTTACTTACTCATCACTTTGAGTATTTGTAATAGAAACTTTTCCTTAACTGAAATGTGGGAAAATGAAATAAATCACCAGATGACTGAATGTTCATTTACTTCAATATCTATCTCATCATTAATGGGAAGACTAAGACAAAAAATTGGTGGTTATTTTCCGTTTATGTCACACATAATGTTTGTATAGGCAATTGTTCAATACGTTGAACAATGTTCATGTGAAAGTGATGTGTTCGCTGAATACTTGCATTTCGGTTGTCGGTTTTCTAAGTTTGTTCTATCGAATTGGTCTGCAGCGTAAAGCGCTACCTCACTATTTTAACTTTGATATTTGAATGGAGAGCTATCGCAAAAGATGGTGGATGCGTTAGGCAAGAACGTCTGAATACAGATAAGTACCAATAAACTGTTTCATTTAATTTGTAGCATCCGTGTCATTGTATTTGCGTTCATTTCTTAAACCATCAGGTCGATGCTTTCGTAGACATTTCACATAGTACCACAGTTTGTGGATAACCATTATTCAGTGAATTACATGTGGACATGACACATTTAGTCAATAAATCAATCAAAATATACAAATGTTTTTCTTACGGAATACGATGTGCAATTCTTCCATGAATTTGTATTTCTTATTTATATTCTCATTCATTAGTATAACATCTGAAATACAAAATGAATTCTGTTAGGAAATCACCCATGAATATTGTTTACTTGAAGAGATCATTCAACATGTTTTGAGCATCAAAGTAATGAAAACCAGCATATATTAAGACCAGATGGATCGTGGATAAATAACGGAGAGTCACATTGTTCTCTTTACCATGTCCCCACTCGTTTGTGAAAGTCATTGTGAATATTTAGTCCGTGCTTTCACCTTTTATTCGTTTGACTAGATTTGTTCTGTAACATGAGATACTTCATTCATGAGTATTACACCCGTTATTAATCGTTCCAAATTGCAATGCCATCATAGGTGATGAATCTTTTGTCTCATTTCTATATCTAATTATTTTAACTAAGTTACAAAGGTAAAAAGGAAGTAGTGTTGGATATGAATTTCAGTAAGGAATGTCAGGTTATATCTACCATATTCATTAATATCAAGAGAGATAATTCAAGTAAAACTACCTGGTGTCTGAGATGGTATCAGCTTAATACAATTTTCGATACCGTAGTAAGGCATCATATCTAATCAGAAAATAAAAGAAAAATTGAATGACACAGCAATTCACTAATTTCATATTCAGCCTGATCAGAAACCATGTTGATCTGGAGTACATACATTGTGAGTGGAGATGTATGGTGACTGATGGTCGAGAAATAGACTTCTCAACTGAATATCACTACATCCTGGGGTCGATATTCATTTCGAGACCTCGCTAGATACCATCCATCTCTGCTGAAAACACTTGTGACTCAGTGGCACTATCGAGGTAATCCGTACAGGTAACACAACTGACGAAACATACTGATCAATGGTAGTCTTAAACACCAGTGGGAAGATTCAATAATGAGTACACACAGGTGAATTAATTCCTAATTTGAATGTCACCAGGCAAACACATTGGCAGTTTAAGATGCCCCACAAAACTTTCGGCTATATATGTTGACGTGATGCACCTTTATTGCACAGAACCTACATACCATTCGGTAAACAAATAAGGAGGGATGAAAATGGTCAAGATTTTCTGATAAACTCTCGATGTTAATTAAACACTAGATTTTACATACTGCAATTAGCAACGACGACATGGAAATAAATTGTATACAGTCGAGGTTGGGGAAGACTATGGGTGAAATACATTTTCTTTCATAATGATCACGTAGACGACGTTTATACAGCAATACCACCTAAATGCTTACCACAAAAAAGACATCAATTGTTGTGAGCTAGACGAACATCCTGATAAACCGGACAGACGCAAGTGAGGTTGTGAATGAATTGAAAGGATGCGATCTACAGAACTACCGGCTAGTAGTCATTTATACAATGTTTTCGTCTGCAAAGTATCAGACAAGCGTAGTTAATGATAGGCGAACAACATTTATTAGATCAGATGAAAATACAAGAAGTGGTGAAATATTTGAGATGGATATGAATAAACTGCGTACAAATAAATATTTTGACTTACTTTCATAGTGTTCAGCAACTGTCTTTAAAGATGCTTCGAACTTCGATCGATCGAAATTAACACGAGCTGTATAGAATAAGAGACGTTGAACAAACATCAAAGTATAACAGTATGGAATAACAACATTTGAATTTATTATAATGAGGGTTTGAGATTTTTCATGAACAGTATTCAGGAACTTATACGATGGGCCTCTGTTGCTACATGAGATTTCTTAGTGTATTATCTGGAAATTAGATTATGATATATCTGATATGTTGAGATATGTGTAACTTTCATTTCTGTCAGCGTGAGATCCGTCATCTGAACTCATGTTTTCCCAGTGTTGATATTCTCAAAGAAACTTCAACAGAGTTCCCTTCACAGTGTTGGTTTAAGTCAAGAATTCGCGGTTTCGGGCCTCAGTGTGAACATCACCATTTTGACCGAGATATATTCATCCTACTAGTGTGAAGTAGGATAGAATGGAGTCCTTGAATTTCATTAATAAACGAATACTAAATATCAGTGTGGGCGTGTATAGATTGCTATGTTTTTTGGATTGACATCATGAATCGATCAATGTTAGACCTCTAATACTAAATATATCAAAGCTTCATGCACAGCATCTTTCATTTTTTTAAGAACTTTCGAAATTGTACCAATGGGAGTTTCACACTATTCACTTCACTTCATATTAATAGAAGAATCAGTCTGCAAAGTATGTCAGTGTACTTCAAATGTTTTAAACTATTCGGTTATTAGAATGACTTACGAAACTGTTTCTGGTAATTTTCCCGCAAATTTTGGGCAGCTATAAAAATTATTAAAGCAGATCACAAATTGATTCCCTTTCAATATGGATGTTTATGAATCAGTTATATCTGATGAAATGATAAGTGAATGTGTTATTAGATGGACGACTGAGTATTTTGAGCGTTGACTGGACACGGAAATTTGAACCGATGGTTAAACTATCGTAATTATTTCGACTACTCACTTGACATGAGGTAAAAGTCTCAGTAAACTAATGGACAACGTTTTACTTTTCTCAAGTCTTAGCGTTCACCACGATATCTACATGTTCTAGATTTGGCGTTTATGGATGTTGAGTATAAACTCTGTTGAAAGTCGTCAATCCCTTGAGATAATTGTTCATTATTCTTCGAGTTGTGTTGGTGAATGGGAGATTTCCAGCCCTAACGAAAGATATATTTTTTTCACTTTTTTGTCAATTGACTACTTCTACAGTATAACTCTCAACAACAGGTTCCAAGCTCTACAGGATCTACCGAAAGAACAAGAAACGACTTTGGAGGACAACTGGAAAGGGATAAAAGAAGCACTAATTTCAACGTGTCAGGAGGTTCTTGGTCCTAAGAAGCATCATCACAAGGAATGGGTCTCTCTGGGAACCCTGGACAAAATTCAAGAAAGGAAGAACAAGAAACTAACAGTTAACAACAGCCGAACACGAGCAGAGAAAGTCAAAGCACAAGCAGACTACGCAGAAGCAAACAGGGAAGTGAAGAAAAGCATTAAAGCCGACAAGCAGAAATACATGGGAGAACTAGCAACGGCGGCGGAAAAAGCTGCAAGAGAAGTGAATATGAAACAACTACATGATACAACAAAGAAATTGGCAGGGAGATATAACAAACCAGAGAGACCAGTCAAAGACAAAGAAGGAAAGAAAATCACTGAGATTCAAGAACAGAGGAAAAGATGGGCAGAATACTTCGAGGAACTGCTGAATAGACCAGCCCCAATGAATCCACCGAACATCGAAGCAACCCACACAGACCTTCTAATAGATGTCACTCCACCAACGATCGAAGAAGTCAAGATGGCCATCAGACAAATCAAAAGTTGGAAGGCGGCAGGACCTGACAATATACCAGCAGAAGCACTGAAGTCAGACATTGAAATAACTGCAAATATGCTTCACCTTCTATTCAAGAAGATTTGGGAAGAAGAACAGATGTCAATGGACTGGAAAGAAGGATATCTCATCAAGATACCAAAGAAAGGAGATCTGAGCCAATGTGAGAACTACAGAGGCATCAGTTTGTTATCAGTACCAGGAAAAGTCTTCAACAGAGTGCTGCTGAATCGGATGAACGACGCAGTAGACGCCGAACTTAGGGATCATCAGTCTGGATTCCGTAAGGATCGGTCGTGCACAGACCAGATTGCGACACTACAGATCATCGTGGAACAATCAGTTGAGTGGAACTCATCACTATACGTCAACTTCATCGACTATGAGAAGGCGTTTGACAGCGTGGACAGAAGAACATTATGGAAACTTCTTCGACACTATGGAGTTCCTGAAAAGATTGTCAACATTATCCAAAACTCATACGATGGACTACAGTGCAAAGTGGTGCATGGAGGACAGCTGACAGATGCATTTCCAATAAGGACCGGAGTCAGACAAGGCTGTCTACTCTCCCCATTCCTCTTCCTTCTAGTGATTGACTGGATTATGAAGAATTCGACATCTGAAGGGAAATACGGAATACAATGGACTTCTCAGAATCAAATAGATGATTTGGACTTCGCAGATGACCTAGACCTCCTCTCTCATACACACGAACAAATGCAGATAAAGACAGCAAATGTAGCAGCAGCCTCCGCATCGATAGGCCTCCACATTTACAAAGGAAAAAGCAAGATTCTCAAATGCAACACGGAGAACACCAACCCAATCACACTTGATGGCGAAACTCTGGAAGAGGTGGAAACATTCAAGTACCTGGGGAGCATCATTGATAAACAAGTAAGATCGGATGCAGATGTAAAGGCGAGGATTGGCAAAGCAAAAGCAGCATTTCTACAATTGACGAACATATGGAACTCAAAACAATTGTCAACTAACTTCAAAGTGAGAATCTTTAATACGAACGTCAAGACAGTCCTACTGTATGGAGCTGAAACGTGGAGAACTACTACGGCCATCATCAGGAAGGTACAAGTATTTATAAACAGTTGTCAACGCAAAATACTCAACATTCACTGGCCGGATACTATCAGCAACAGCGTTTTATGGGAGAGGACAAACTAGCAGGTTCCAGCTGAAGAGGAAATTAGGAAAAGTCGTTGGAAGTGGATCGGACATACATTGAGGAAATCACCAATGTGCATCACGACTCAATCCCTAACTTGGAATCCGGAAGGGAAGCGGAAAAGAGGAAGGCCAAAGAACACACTACGCCGGGAAATAGAAGCCGATATGAAAAGGATGAAGAGCAACTGGAAAGAACTGGAAAGGAAGGCTCAGGACAGAGTTGGATGGAGAATGCTGGTGAGCGGCCTATGCTTCTCCACAACGGGTAACAGGCGTAAGTAAGTAAGTAAGTGACAGTATGTTTGCTCACAATATCAGAATAAAACTTACACTACATTAAGTACACTAGTAGTGATGCAATTTCGCACTCACATTCCGATTCGATGAATTATTTATGGTTTGCCAGAGAATTTGTCATACAGAGTCAACTGGATATATTGAGCACACACATCAAGGTTCAACAATTCAATGTAGACTATCCAATAACAGAACTAACTTCAGAAACCTCTCATTCTACGAAACTATTTTACCATAATGTTATGCCTGTACTTAATGTCGGAGAGAAATGCTGGAATTCGGTCACATTTATCAAAGATAAACTACAGGGTGCCGAATTAGTGGCATCAGTCATGTTGTAAACTTATAATGTGAGGATGAAATCTACGAAAGTTGGACTTTGTTCACTTTCATACATGAGATGTAGTTGTTGGTCAATGGATTCAAAAACTCAACATGGAAGTGAATAATAATGAAATGTGGAATCAAAATTAAACCAATGTATGAGAATAATTTCTGTTACTTGACCAAGTTTCAATGGATCCACGAGCGCTAGAATATATGCTTCTACATACGAAATCTAAAATTATCAATGTTATTAGAGAACTAGATTATTGTTCACATACACTCGTCGATATTCTTCATTCCATTTGGATCTGATTTTTTGATTTTGACTGAAATAAACACGATAATGTAGAGCAACTCAGTTAGAGAACAAGGTGATCTAGTTATATTTCAAAAATGACACTTCTTTCTGATCTCATTATTTATAAGTTGATCAAACAGAAATAAGTTGAATGAGGTTTGTTGTTGCGACACCAATCACGCATTCTACTAGTCATGATAATGGACAATACTGGCAAGCTAGATGGATAGATTTTCACTCATAAGGTCAGAGCAGGTGGGACATCAACAACATCCTGAATTTCACGAGATCATACAGATCACACTATCGTCGCACTGGAATTTTCTTTTCTCAATTTACCATATTGGTCGTGGGTACCAGGAGAGTGGATGCATGAATAAACGTCTCAACTACCACTTCCGTAAACATTCAACTTTGTGAACTAATTTTCTTCCTCAGATTTGCTTGAAATTAATATTCATGTCAACTAATCACGTGCACTTACACACTCTCATCAATTGTTTACAGCCTATCACGAATGAAACCACTGTGAATTTCAAAAAGTATCACCAAGAAAGTTCAAATAAACAAACTAAATTCTCTTCTTCGTTTCACTGGTGTTAATGACTTCATGAGTGTGCAAACAGTGAGGAAATAAGGTTATACAGTGAAACCGAACGTGATAGCATTAATTTGACTTTCCAATTAATCGTACTTCTAAAGTTTGAATGAATTCACATTGGTCAAACAACTGGAAATGCTGAACACGAACGTACACTTGTTGTGTGTAGTTTGTTTTGACTTTAAATTCGGTAGTGTAAAACAATATAACATTGAAGATAAAATAATCAAATTACCTCTCAGGGATTGTATTTCGTTGTCGCATTTGGAGTGATCGTTGAAGACCGAATCTATCCATTCTAAAGATTAACCGAATTGTGTTTTATTATTCATTTTGTTACTGGACATTCATATTACCTACTTGTGAAAGCATTCATCAGTAACATTGAGAAAACGATTTCATTTCGATGAATATACAAAAGTCGTTACATTACAGAACATCACATAAATTTCAGCAAATAATGAGGTGATACGATTTCAAACACACTACTATACATCTATGAAATTGGAGTCCTCAGACACAAACGAATGAACCGAATTATTCTTTATGTAAGTAGTAGGTAATAACTTGTGTTTCGTGAACACGTTTGATTGTATGATACATAGTCTTTAAAATTCAGAACAACCATTACTTACTTTTATTTAGCGAAATCTGTTTTTTCACATCTTCAGAATTTTTCAATTCGACATCTGTAAAAACAAAAACAGGATTTGCCACAAAAATTAAGTTGATTGTTGAATACTGATGTTCAAATTCATATGAACTGATTTGGATCACTCCACATATGTCAATATTAGGATTGAAAACATTATTCAATAAAGGCCTCTCACACACCATCATTAAAGCGAGTTGTTCATTATAAATTAGTTTCAACCGTTTATCGGTTTACAGAACAATTAAACACTCACTTATTCATTGTTATATTGTGTCATACGGGTTGATGAGCAGTTTCAATCGTGTCATATCAATTTCAAGGAGAATTGAAATGTTATTTGTGTTGATCGGTTTGTGATTTCAAAAAGTAAATTTAAAAATTGTTCACTGACTAAAGGTTGTTGATTGTGTTTGGTCTGGTGGACGATTACTACTATGATAATACACCAGAATTGATACTTGAAAGACGAAAATCAATGATCGAATATCAACGAATAGTTTTCAACAGAAACAAATATCTCGACTCAAACAATGTTCCGATCAATTGTTGTTACGTGGTTGAATACTCACAATGGATTAAAACAGTATACTTATGTCTACAACTTCTCTTAACACTAATCAGAAAAATGGCGTCAAGCACAAATTTATGAAACAGAGAAATATGCTCAAATACACGGTTTTAATCAGATTAAAGTCGTGTTTTATGACTTATGACCACGATGGTGGTGAAGATTAAAAAGGCGGTGTTATGATTCTGTTGGTACACTGAATCAGATGTGAATATCTCAGAATGTAATTGCAAAAGTGCATTTGACATAATACGGATAACTTACTCGTCTGTGTGGACGTATGAAGAAGCAAAAGCAGAGCAGCTACGTGAAACCAAACTAAGCAAACCATATTCACTGAAATTACAGCATTTATTCTTCTGCTTATATACAATCATAAAATGAAGGTGGAACAGGAGGGGTGAGTATTGTTTACCATAGAAAACATCAAACAACGTAATTAAAATTAAGAGACTATGTAAAGTTTAATAAAAGAACTAAAAACAAAAAGTGGTACGTTGCATATCTAAAATATTTTTGTACAAACATCAGTTATGTACTTTGAATAAGTTCTGTTGCACTGGGTCAAACTCACCTCATGACTGTAATTAGTGCTGTCTGCAGAGAGAGAGAGAGAATATGAAATTTGGCGACTTTTAAAAACAACAAAACACTGATAATATTTGTCTTTTACTAATTACGAAGGAATTTTATCAATACACTATGCTTTTTATTTCTACAATCGGACGATTTCTAAAATAAGTATCCACGTAGATATGTATCTAAATAATCTATGTATTTTACCTGACGGATGATAAACTTTACACGGTTATTCGTTTCTTTTGTAACTAACTTGTTAACTCATTTATCAATATTCTTTACTACTTCCTCACACTCACGTTTTTCACCTTGTGGAATATAGGCCTCAGATCAGCATTCTCCGAACAACTCTATCATAGACTATCCTTTCAAGTCATTGTCAAGCGCTGTTCATTGTTTTGTTGTTTGCCTCAGATTCCCAACACAATATGTCTTCATGTCTACCTCATTTCATTTTGCCTCGAGAATTCTAATTCACAACTTGACCGATGAAGTAGTTTGATGATTACCAAAATATGCGTCCAATTTGCCTCCAGAATCCATTCGCGAATTTCTCTTCAGTTAGATAGTTGTTTTTTTCTGCCTCAACCCGTTTTTGCTGATGGTTACTATCCAACGAATTTGGAGTGTCCTGTGTAGACAACTGTTGATGATGGTGGTCACGACGTTTGTTTTGAGGATTTTCACTGTGGTAAAGACGCAAAGTTCTTCCAAACTCGATATTTTCTTCAACTGTAACAGTGTTGCCCTATTCCACAGCTTCACAATGAAGTTTGATTCGGTTGGTGCTCACTGTGTTATATTTCAGAATATTTCTTTTTTCCTTGTGTACGTTGAAGCCTACTGCTTCAGAGGCTTCTGACTACTGCTTGTCTTCGCCCGAATTCGTTGATGCATATGGGATCAAAGAGCCAGATCGTCTGAGAAATGTTAATTGTTCAATTGAGTTCAAGTTGTTCATTGTATTTCTGCCTTCTCTGACTTGCGGAGGCCCTTATGATCCAGTCAATATCTAGAAGAAAGAGGAATTCCAAATGTAGGCACGTGTGAGCTTTTCTGTGTTGTGACATTTAACCCGGCTGATCATCACAAGACTTATTCGTCAATCGGAATGGCGGGCGCGCAATTTTTATTTGACACGGGAATGGAAATCAGGGTTATGCCTCTTGTGAGCGATGAAATATATATATATATATATGTTATAAACGTATGTATGCCGTCGCCAATTGTTATAAACGTAGAGAGAGAGAGAGGATGCTGGTTATAACTTTAGGGGTTCCTGGTTATAACAGTCCTTTTACTTCTTACACGTATGTGGGACGTTAATTTATCTTAGACGAATATCTACACTAGATTCCCATCCAGTGTCTATTCTACAGGACTTCAACAGAACTCAGATCAAGAACACAATATTAGCCTGACTATAACGTCAATATATTTCACACCAAAATCCGACACATGGAACAGTCAATAAGTATCCAACATCAAGGAACAGTCAAGAAGTCCATACATAATAAGGATAGGGAAATATATATATAACACATAACACCTGTCATCCCCTCTAATGTCTGACTCATCGAGACAACCAATCATTGACATTCTCGCCCACACATCACCTCCCTCGCGAAGTTCGATCGTATGACTTCACTTTGGGGTCTATTTGAAAAAATTTCGTTTGTTTCCGTTTCCTGAATGACCTTCGTCTAACTTCTGATTCTAGATCATTTTTTCTCATTTCAACTTGTGGTGGTGGTGGTGGTGGAATATCAAATGTATCACATAATACTTCCATTGGTAATGGTTTGAGTTTAGATGACTCATAAACACATTTTCTATCTCGCAGTTGATTTACATGTCTAATAATTAGTGTATTTTCGACCATCACTTCATATAATACTGTACCACGTCGTTTTTTTATAAACCCAAATATCCATTTTGGCTTGCCAGGCCGGAAATCCCGTGCATAAACTGAGTCACCTACTTTGAATTCTCGAATTTTCGGGCAATTCCCTTTCTTATTTTTTTGTAGTCCACTTATTCTGTCTTTCGGGTTCAAAACATCAAAAAATGTTCTAATCGGTCGGCCAAACATTATTTCGGCTGGAGATTTCCCATCTTGACAGTTTGGACTTGGCGTAATTCTATAAGAAATGAGAAATTGTTGCAGAGCCTCTTCTACGTTGCCTTCTCCTCCCATCTTTAAGAGAGCTCGTTTAAGAATATCAACAAATTTCTCTGCCTGCCCGTTCGACTTAGGGTGATACGGTGGAGTTCTAACGTGCTCGATTCCATTCTGTTTACAGAACTCCGCAAACTCTAACGACGTGAACTGCGTTCCGTTATCTGAAACCAAAACATTAGGTGTACCAAACCTACTAAATAATTGTCTCAGATGTAGCAGTGTTTCAGACGTAGATGGTCTTCGTACCACATAAATTTCAGGCCACTTCGAGTATGAAACAACCACCACCAAAAAATATTGTCCACTTATTGGTCCAGCATAATCAACATGTAGTCGGATCCAAGGTTTTTTCGTTTCTGGCCATGACTGGGATTCTGCTTTCGGCACATTCAACGGTAAATCCCACAAACCAAATTTATCAATCCAATCAATACCTAATAGATTGGTATGACAGTTCCCGGATACGTAACATTTCCCGGTCATAGTCTTTTCACCAAACGTGAGAGGTAGCTGTATTACTCCAAGAAGAGTAATATTAGTTCCTGACGCACTCTTAGCATTATGACATGTAGGTTGATATCGGGGTCGACCAATTTTAATCCAAGTTTCTCTAGAAATTAATGTTATATCAGACCCAGTATCGACTTGTAGTTTGACCGGTTTGCCATCGAAAAAAATGGTTACATACTTCCTTTTAGAGGAGAATTGCTCACTTTTTGTAGCCAGAACAACATTTGAGTTATGCGGCATTACTTTTGAAGTATGTATCTTATTACCTTTACGGGACTTATGCTGACGGTCAGAAACCTTTGGTTTACTTTTACAACATACTTGAGCATGACCATATTTACCACATTGAAAGCATACTCGTTTTTTAAAGTAACAAACTTTGGCAGAATGAGACTTACCACATCGCCAACATGACGTTTTGTGTTTCACTTGATTCGGGATTTTCTGGGAGTTCGAATCTTTATTTTCATTTAAAGATTTACATAAAGCATTAATTCCCACGTGTTCACTGTTCCTTTCTACGAGATTCGTGTCATGCTTCAAATTAACCATTCTTTGACACTCTTCAGATACTGATTGTAGACTGATATTAGGATCTTGTTCGATTCTCATTAGAATCCGTGCTCTAATATCTGCATCTACTGAAGATTGTAATCCACATACAAAAATAAGGCACTTGAACTGATCTGAGGACATTTCCTGTAGTCGGAACCGCTCACATTCCCGGTTCACGATACTTGCATACGTTACGTAATCGTCCTGTACTTTCTTTACAAGTTGAAGACACTGGTATCTAGTGTGAAAAATTGATGACCGTTCACCAAATATACGAGTCAGGCATTCAACTGTTTCTTTGAACGTTATGTCGGATGGCTTCTTTGGGAGGATAAAATTACAGAATTTTTCATGTTCGGACACTCCGAGCTTTCGTAATAATAATCTCAATTTCGAACTTTCGTCCCACTCTTTACATTCATTAATAAATAAATCCTCATGGCGTTTAAACCATGCCTCAAAAGTAACTCCACTTTCTGGATCAAATCTAAATTCAGTTATTGAATTTGCAATGGAATCCGGAGTCATAGTGGAATTAGACACATCAGTTCTTGAGGATATCGACATATTTTTGACTGATAATTCGATAAGAGTATTTTGCTGTTGCAATAAGGTTTTCAGATCATCCATTTTCTTGATACAAAATTCACTAACTGAATACGTAAGCGTAGATCCGTTTTAATCACCGTCGCCAATGTTATAAACGTATGTATGCCGTCGCCAATTGTTATAAACGTAGAGAGAGAGAGAGGATGCTGGTTATAACTTTAGGGGTTCCTGGTTATAACAGTCCTTTTACTTCTTACACGTATGTGGGACGTTAATTTATCTTAGACGAATATCTACACTAGATTCCCATCCAGTGTCTATTCTACAGGACTTCAACAGAACTCAGATCAAGAACACAATATTAGCCTGACTATAACGTCAATATATTTCACACCAAAATCCGACACATGGAACAGTCAATAAGTATCCAACATCAAGGAACAGTCAAGAAGTCCATACATAATAAGGATAGGGAAATATATATATAACACATAACACCTGTCATCCCCTCTAATGTCTGACTCATCGAGACAACCAATCATTGACATTCTCGCCCACACATCAATATATATATATCTACACCGGGTTTGTAGTGGTATGACTGGACGCCTACACAGACAGTCAATGGCATCTCCAACGACCGTCACTGATGATAACGATTGGACAAATAAGCTACCTTCAATCATGTTAGGTCTAAGAAAATCAATAAACAAGATATTGGGTGCTGTCCAGCTGAGTTCATGTACGGAACTTCTTTGCACTTACATGGGTTGGTTATCACTTCAGGTAAGAGTGTTTTGACGGATGTACCCAACTCAGTACATCGAATAAGGAGGCACATGAATGATTTAAAAATAACACTCCGAGGTCACTAGAACACCGATTATTTATGCTGCAGCAGCTATACAGTAGCACTTGTGTGTTCATCAGAAGAGGCTGTATGCAACCACCACTGCAGCAGAATTGCGATGATTTGTTTAGAAAA